GGGAAAGATGGGGCTAGCACAGCCTGGTTTATTCTTTTTGGTATCATTGGGAGAGATCTAAACCAAGCTTATGAAAAATGAATAATCCTTCCAAATTAGTCATAATAATCTTGTTCATACCTAGTATTGTTTTAAAAGCCTTTGTGAAGAGGAAAAAAAGTCATGTAGAATTGAACTTGTGCCCCTTAAGGGTTTGCAAGAAGTATTTACCAGGAAGTATCTGGTAGATCTCAAATATATACCAGTAATACAAATTTTGATGTATTACATTGGTTACTGAGCATGCAATCTTTTTTTATTCTGACAAAATCTATGCAGAATCTTAAGTTTCTTCCTTTTTTCTGTATTGCATTCCAGTTACATTTTTTTCCCAAAAGATAATTTGCAGAGGTTTTATTGGTTTAATATTTGATATAGTCTCTTGGCTTCATTCCTTTATGAATCATTTCCTCTTCATTTTATTCTTCCCTCAATGTTAGCTTGATACCTTCTTCCTTTTCCTTTTACATGCTGGTGGCAGTAGAATGCTACAGAACATTTGTGTTACGGAGCGTAACCAGAAAATGAAGTACAGACCTCAACTCTGACGCAGTTTTAAGTAGTCTGTGTTAGTCTGATTTGTTTGTTTTAAAGTTGCAAGTGTCATATGTGCACATAAGGGCATTAAAAAGCAAATGAACAAAAGAGAGAAACCACTGATTACACAGATAATGGGTAAAGAAGATGGTGTCACGTGAGGCATGAACACGTCTTGGGATTGTACTGCTGGCAGACTGTTCAAGTTTTCATCTAACCCACTGCTGTGACTTTGCCAAATCTTTTCAGTAGAGGTTTGTTCTTTTGTTACACAATTGCTTAGCAATTACTTCGTCATACGGATCCACTCCCAAGCTCAGCATGAGCTATAGCTGTGCAACCAGATCAGAACTGGCAGTTTCTTGTTGAGCACAAGCCGTGACATTTGATGAGTGAGGCCTTTGAAGTTTACTTTGGCTTAGACTCGTACAGAGTCTCTAATTAACCAAAAGAAGGGGCTTTCTTTCTATCCACATAGTAGTAGGTGAATATTTGTAAAAGCTTTGAAAAAGAATAAAAAAATTCCTCTGCCGTTTCCTTTCTTCATAGCAGTATCAATCTAAGCTATGTTCACTTCAAAGGGCTTGTTCTGCATCTGCCACAGTCCTGACTGGGTTTGTAGCTGCCAATTTTAGCAGAAAACCTGACATTCTAGGGGTTCTGGGGCTTCAGCTGATGGTATTTTGTCTAAATTCCCATGAAAGAGCAAAAACTAAACATTAAGGAGTAGAAGAAATCCTGCATCTTTGGAGAAGGAGCCTTGCAGAGTTTAGTACATCTAACAAATTAGGAGTGTGTCTCTTGAACTTGGATTGTAACTCTACAGCTGGTTGAACACTTTCTTCTTTTCAGCTCTTGTCATGAGGAAAAGATGTGTATCAGCGGAAAGTGTTGGTAAAAATTGGGATGAATATTTCTCTATAGGGTAGTAAGAAGTGAATTAAAGGCAGCATCATGTAAAACTATCCTAGTTTCATTGCTTTTGAGAATTGGGCTTCATATTTAATACTTTTGTTAAGAAGAATTGTGGTACTACTGGCAGTGACTGTTTTCCTAAAAATAAATAAATTGGCCACTGGTGTTAGGAAGGATGTATACCAGAGTAGCTGAGTAATTGGTTCATTTGCAGTAGGTTAATAGCTAATGTTCTCTCAATCTATTTTTTTTTGTGTGTGTTTCCTGTCCTTTCTTCTTTTCCACCAGTTATTTTCAGTTTGATGTGCTTAATAAGTAAAGCTGCTGTTGTGTGTTCCTGAATCCATGGGGGTCCAGTAATGTGAACCAATAGGTAATTTTTTTGGCTACTAGATGCTGTTCAGCTCAGTGGGCTTTTCCTGAAATAAAAAAGGTTGGGTTTGTTCTAAGATCACCGTTCATTTTTTACCAGATGCCTCAGATTTGTAATTCTTTTAAGTTTTATGAATCATTTTTAGGACTAATTCTGAAAGCTTTTGTTCTCCGAGAAATTCCCAGTTCTCATTTGTGTCCTGATTTGCTGTTACGTCAGTGATAGGTGTACGTCAGCTTCCCCCCCGCTTTGTATTTTCTACCTGTTCTTTATGCGAAGGCTTTTGAAGATAAAAGCTGCCGTAT